GGTGTGTGTATGTTCATACATGTGCATGTGCATATGTGTGTGTGTGGTGTGTATATGTGTGTGTGTGGTGTGTGTATGTTCATACATGTGTATATGTGTGTGTGTGTGGTGTGTATATGTGTGGTGTGTATGTGTGTGTGTGGTGTGTGTATGTTCATACATGTGCATGTGTGTGTGTGGTGTGTGTATGTTCATACATGTGCATGTGTGCTGTAGTTAAAACAACATCAGGATGTATCTGCAGTAGCTGTCGATATTCTAAGTTTCAGAATCCCACTGACAGATATTAATGAGGAAGACAAGGTTTCAAAAGTGTTATTTATTTGTTATATGCAATTTACATTATATACATGGAGCAAATCAACAACCTATACATACTGAACTTAATAAAATTAACAAGATGAACCAATAATTAGATTGGTATCTATAATACACAATTGTTTATTAAAACAACCAAACATTGATCAGCTATGAACACCTTCATTTTTGAGTATATAACAGGCTCTCATATTTGACTCACAAAATCATTCATCCGATCAAGTCGGATATATACTGATGCAGATACAAACACAAAATTTGCAGCTTGAAAAATGTTCTTATTCAATCCCAGCAGCAATTTCAGGATTTAGTATTTTCTCTCCTCAACATCCACTGGAACATTATCTGGAAAGATTAATTTCCTATTTTATTCCAATAAAAGTAAATATGACAAATCCCATCTAAATTAATCATAAAATATTTGAAAATATGGTAATTAATAATAGAAACATAAATCATACTTGATTCAATCTTAAAATATACATGCAGACGTTGTGTCTCAAGAGTAAATTTCTCATCTCCATCACCCATCAGGGTTCTCACGAATCTGCATTCTTAAAAAACTGGGCAAACAACTTGAAAAACAAGAAATAAAAATGCCTTTTCTTTCAATGAATGAATGTACATCTTAACATCATAAAAGGAACTGCATGTCCACCAACTGTTCTACACATATATACTACTTTAAAGAGTGAGTGGGTATGGTTCTACTCCGCTTTTAGCAATATTCCAGCAATATGACGGCAGGGGACACCAGAAATGGGCTTCAAACATTGTACCCATGTCAGAAATCGAACTCGGGTCTACGGCGTGACAAGCAAACACTTTAACCACTAGGCTTACCCTACTAATCAAAAGAAGATTCTTACGACTATAGTTCATTTGTCATGTAACTATCGTAACACGAAAGAATCAGGTGTCAATGATATTCCCAAATCAATGAAATCCTACCCAAGGCACCTTGAAATGTATGAAGTAACAAACACAGGTCGTTCCTATACAGGTTGTCTCTGCAGAATGGCAGCCAAGCCATCATCTCATAATGAATGTACACTCAGGTCTATGTGGCGTCATCCGCAATCAACCAGGGTATTATACCTCTGTATTGGTAAATACCCTGGACCAGGGGTGAAAGGATACAGGAAGGTCACAATATGATACGTATCACGATACATAGATCACAATACAATACGTATCGCTATACACAAAAAAGACTATAAATTTTTTTTATTTCAGAGCAGGTTCAAAGGGAAAGGCTAGTTGTAGACACGTTTGAAGCAGCTATTTTAAATATTGAACTTGAAACTCTAATTATAACACATTTTGCGATATTTGATAGACAAACACACTGGGGGGTCATAAAACGAGTAGTGTATCATCTCGTATTGATACAGTACAAAATGGATCGTGTATCGTATTGCCGCATGAAAACTCACGATGCACCGATGCAGAGATGTATTTTTTCACCCCTAGTAGTATAGGTCCCTCTTCCTCCTCTCCAGCGGGCCCCCCGGGGGACGTGTCCACCATCTTCCCTGAGATGACCCAGCAGTTCAGCAAGGAGATGGAGGACATGAAAACGCACGATACACCAGTGCACCGATGTATCGTTTCACCCCTACCCTGGACTCTAACATAGCTTCGTCTTGAGTTCAAGCTGAATGGCAGGATTAAAAAAATAGCTGTCTTATCGAATTAACAGCTGTATTAAAAAAATACAACATGCAAAAGAAATTATCTGGGAAGAGATAGGAGAAATAGTGACATAATTTCCCAAACGAATACATTTTATTGGTTGGTGACTTCAAGATCATGAGAGAGGAATTCTGTGATACTATATGGTGATAAGAGAGATCGCGATGCAGTCACATCAAAACTAGGCTATGGTAGGAAATAGGTTCAGGGTTATGATCAGAACTGTGGGGTGGATCAGTGACGAAGATGTTGTGCAGTTAATGACAAAGACAGTAGATTTATGTGATCATAATCAATAACCAAGCAATATGTAACCTTTATTTCATCATTTGTTCAGTGGTTATCGAAAGAATCATAAGCTAAGTTTTGACAGTGCTAAAGTTTGGTTCAAACACCTCGATTTAGCAGTGCGTTATTACCCTAATCACACATAGCAGTAGATGTGTTTCACATGTGGTACTAATACCATACCTGGACTGGAAGCAGACCTGGGCCCACTTGCACAAAGCGATCTTAGCGCTACGACTATTGTAAGCCTACGTTAAAGTATGGGAGTTACAATCATCTTAGCGCCGAGATCACTTTGTGCAAGTGGCTCCTGGAGTATAGTCTCTACTTAAGAACACTTTCCTTTTTAGGAAGTGCGTGCTTGTTGTTTAAGTGAGTGAGTTTGGTTCAACGCCGCTTTTAACAGTATTCCAGTTACATCATGGCATGTCAGCTTAATGTGGGAGAAAAGCCCGAAGTGATTCAGATCTCAAGACGTTTACCACTTCGGTGAAACCCACGAGCGCAGGTATGGTGCTGACAGACCTAGAAACATAATCAGAGTGAACCAGGATTCGAACCCACAATCAAAGGTTTCTGGCGTGCCCACAGTGAAACACAGTGACTGGGCCACTCGTGCCCCCTTGTTGTTTAAGGCCAATTAAAGCTGAGTGGGGTAGATCGCTGATTTTATGCGCTGACGATTAGGTGCCTGACTCTGGGAGTGTGGGTTCGAATCCCCGATGGGACTCAAGCCAAAAAATACAAGAATATGTACTTTACCCAGAAGGTGTTATCCCAAATATAATGTGTGTTACATTGTCCAACTTTCTAAATGGCATTGTGTATTCATAATCCCGTGATTGATATTATGAGCAATGTCCACGTCGTTGGGGTACCATCCTGTGCCATCCACCAAGTCACAGAGCCTGCCAATCAATCCATTAATATGCCTTGTACGACCAGAACAGGTTACTGGGGACCTATTCTTACCACCAATCTCCACTGAATTTCAGGAAAGGTGTTTCACTTGAGTCTAATCCCTCTGACAACATAGATGTTCAAACTGTATGTGATGTTTGTTTGTTTGTTTGTTGGTTAACACCACACTCAGCAATATTCCAGCCATATGAAGGCGGTCTGTGAATAATAGAGTTTGGTCCAAACAATCCAGTGAGTGACATCATGAGCATCGATCTACACATTCAGGATACACTGTACGTGTAATGTTCCAGTCTGTCGGGTACTAAAAGTGTCATGTCAGCAGTATAAGTGTGTAGCATCAGCTTACAGAGTAAGTCTTAATTACATCAATTCCTGACAATTCAACTGACCCATGGCATCAAGTATACTGAAACAATGCTTGGTCCTGTCGTTTGTTTCTTTGACTGTTTGTTGTTTAACGCCGCAGTCAGCAATATTCCAGCCATATGACAACAGTCTGTAAATAATTGAGTCTGGACCAGACGATCAAGTGATTAACATCATGAGGATCAATCCACGCAATTGAATGGGTAGCTGGAGACCTATTCTACCCTGGATCTTCACTGGTCACCTCAGATGTGTTCCTTCTCCTTAGTGTGTTCATTGTGCATGCTCCGTGGTGCATTTTTGACATTTTTGTTCCCAGTTTATGGTTACCATAAAGATTTGACACTGTCACATACACGGTACATATCTCCCCAAAAAACCAAAAACAGCAGTCATCCAAGGTTTCAGGACTGTGTGGGCAGGGAGTAGTGACACCAGTTCTGTATCATATTATAAATCTTCATGTAAACAACACTCATCCAACAGGCATACGATAACAACGTTATTCATCATACAGTATGATGCACTTGAAAGAATGAAGGCATTCTTGAGCGATTATACATTCTGTAATTATACACTAGGTCGCAACTATGCAATTATCACATATGTACAGTATACAAAACATTGCACAATTGATACAAAGCACTGGTAAATCAAGGCATTCACACTCCAAGTATTTCACCTGGGTCTACTTCCTTGTAGAACCGCCAATTCTTCAACTTTGTCCAGACTGAAATGCTTCACACACATCATAAATATTAAACATGCTTCTATAAGTATCAGTTACAAACAAACTGCCCTTTGGCAGACAATGTGGGAAAAAACATAAATTTTATCCAAGATGGACTTTCTAAAAAGTTCGAATATTGAAGGATATCTTTTTATTTCATTCAATGCAAAAATGTAAAACTCCATGTTTATTGGTCCTGTTGTCAGTGAAATGCAAGTCAACTCTGCAGAGCCATAACTTTAATTCAAAATATAACATGACTGAATTCTAATTTGGGAATTTTTAGAGACATCTGCTGCAGATGGTACAGATGGATGACATGGACTATTTCGTTTGGTATCATTAGTCTGGCACTAAAACGTTTATGGCTCAGACTGTAATAGTGATTGGTATTTGTTAAATCCATTTGAAAAACAAGCTTCACTTTGTGTAAGGAACCAGTTTACAGTAATGCATCTTCCCGAGGCAAGGGAGTTAACTGACTGTAAAAGTCCAGTTTTCATCCTCGCCGAACTAGGCTGGAACTATGGAGTTATAGTTTGGCTGGACTAACGAGTCTACGCATAGTCCAACCAAAATCGCATAAAGAAATCGACTTTCAGTTCGTAAAGTGCCTTGCAGATTTCAGTCGATTTGAGGATGAGCAAAGCATGTGTACCACCAGTTCGGCCAGTTTGTTGAACTTCATGAAGACCCATTTAATTACAATACAGATTTTGATTATTAATCAGATCGTCTTGACTGGGCGCTGCCATTTTGTTTAAAGCAAATGCAAGTGATATGAGAGGGGGATCTGATAGGTCAATACGACATAGAAGGGACATAACTCATAATAGCCACTGTTGGCGCTATGATCGAGCCCAGAAATTCCAGCTTAGATCGGTAAGGGTGGAAACTGGACTTTAATAGTCAGTTAACTCCCTTGCCTCAGGAAGATGACAGTAATGATGCATAGTAACAATTCACTATCATGTTTGCTACAGATTGCATTTGAAAATTCAGCTAGTATTAGTCCATTTAACACTAAAATCTCTGAAAAGCCAAGTCCGGGCTGGTAAAGGCAAACATTTTTGGCACAGACTGAACATATTATTCTTTAACACTTTTCACTGTTTGAAAGATGTCAAGCTACAATAAATACATGATGGAGTACGGTTAAGTCACTATTACCAATATTGAAGCAATATCACAGCAGGAAAACTTGTACCCATGTGGGGAGTAAAACCCAGGATTGATGATTGAGCAGCACACCCACTGAGCTACCCCATCCTGGCAACGAGGAAAGGAAACAGCTATCCTTGATAATGCAGTGTATTATATCTACATTCTGATATGGTAAATACCCTGGACTCATTCATTATGATATCTCTGTTGAAGTACATTTCGAAGTACACTGGGTAAAAACTAGCTTTCCAATCAACGCTACTTTTCTTTCATAATTGAAACAAGCAGTACTCAACTCGTACGATGGGTAACATCTCAAATACAACTGGGAGCGCCCAGTAGCGTAAGGACTTCCCTCCCCAAATTGTAATACCCCAGAAAACATATTTGCCACATAAAAGTCTATTTTTAAGTTTTCATAATAAAATTTATATTGATTGAATGTAGATCTATGTCAACCTCTTTTTTACAAGAGTGATTTTCATTGGTTGGTTATTTCACGCTCAACCAACCAAACAAATTCTGTGCATAGAGGGTGGAGCAGTTAATGTCTGCTTAATTATTGATTAAACAGTGTGTGACTACCAAATGATGTGCTGCAGACAACTTCAGAAAAAGAATTTATGACACTCTTCACAATGTTGTCACCAGCACACACTGCAAGGTTTTTCTACCCTGCACATGCGTCTGGAGTAGCAAGATAGCAAGATACTATTACATGCACAACTTGTTGTGGATAGTTGACAGTGAAGAGGACTTCTGGTGGAAACATATAAAGATATCCTAGTGTGATAACAGCCAAAAAACAGGATGTAAAAGAATTAGTATTATTGTTCGGTGATTGATAAGTGAAAGAAATTCCATGCATATAGAGGTGGAGCAGGTGACGTCACTGCCGAAATGAAGTTATGATGGTGAAATGGGTTCAGGGCATATACAGCAATAGAGTGAGATATAATACACTGTATCACAGAGGATGCTCAAAAGCATGTGACCTTTGTACACCTATAACGACCAGGTGTGTATGAAACACGTTACCTATGTATGCCTGTAACGACCAGAGAAACGTGACCTCTGTACACCTGTAACGACCAGGTGTGTTGTAAACACGTTACCTATGTACACCTGTAACGACCAGGTGTGTGGGAAACGTGACCTCTGTACGCCTGTAACGACCAGGTGTGTGGGAAACGTGACCATTGTACGCCTGTAACAACCAGGTGTGTAGGGTTTTGACCAGTGGATGTGGACTAGAGTGTGTGGTCATGCTGCGTGATGTCATGTGTTGTGGGAGGACTGTGCTGACTCAGCATTCTCTTCCTCTGGGGCATCTGTTATCTTGTCGATGGACGCTAGGACTTGGGACAAGAGGCGGAGCTTGTCTACTCCCGTCAATAGTTGTCTGAAAGTACAAATGCTTTGATTAATGCTTATGCAACAACACAAACATGCTCCTTTATTCCATCTGTTTGTTGTGTTATGACTTCAGTCAGCAATGTTTTAACTACCGTATTTCATCTATTAGATGCCTGGACATCTACTAATTTTGTCCAAGTAGTTAACTCGGCATCTTTTACTTTTAGAGGCCTGGCATCTCTTCTGTTTACTGCTGGCGCAGTGGCAACTCAATACCTTACTGAACCACAATTCTACAGCCGTAAAAGGTTACAGTGCGTAAAACCCAGTGTCAGTTGGAGTCCGGTGTGTATTAGGGACCCAACATGTAATAGAGGAAATATGGTACATCAGGGCATCCTGTAATTCAAGTCTTGGCCAGGCAAACAGTGGCTGACTATGATCAACATGCCATGGTGTGATGACACATCAGCAGAGCCTGCTCGAAGGAGTGAGTGAGTGAGTATGGTTTTATGCCACTTTTAGCAATATTCCAGCAATATCACGCCGGAGGACACCAGAAATGGGCTTCACACATTGTATCCATGTCGAGAATCGAACCCGGGTCTTCGGCGTGACGTGCAAACCACTAGGCTACCTGACCGCCCCTTGCTTGAAGGAGACAACATGTTTACTACTGTCAGTTTTAGTCAGTTCCAATTTGTATTAAAACTGAAGCATTGGGAACTGGTTCAGAATCACAGCCCTCATATGCAACTTGGCAGAGGAGTTCACAGTAGTAGTTAATTTTGTAGTTGCAGGCTTGCGTGCATTTCAAATGCTGCACAATCAATATATTTTGTCTCAAAAAGCCATGACCATGATGACACACTATCTTTACCATAAGTCAATACAACTTTAAACATATCCCATTCCAAAAATAATTATGCAAGTTCAGACCAACGCAGAACAATTACTTGCTCGAGTTAAAAATTGAAAATATTCCATTATATTTTCATACCTCGGAATTTTCAGGAAAATCCTATACACTGTATATGGTATCAAAGATGAAAAAGCAATTTCAATCACTGAACCCTCCTCTGGATCTTCCTATGGGACACTACAGATATGTACCCAGGGACTTTCTGTATTCTACAACTGTCTAAGGGTAAAGTTGCTTAATTTGGTTAGTGAACAGGTCAGTATTTCTTTTACCTGTGGCAAATATATGTTGTGCTGACACAACAACGATCTCTTCTGCCTCACTGAGTGAAACACTGCCTGCAGCCTTCGACAAAATAGTGCAAGTCTGCTAGTCCGCGACTACTAACTTGTGCAGAGGTCAAGTATACATCTAGTAGCATTTAAGGGCTATCATTCTGAACCAGTTCTCTTGGAGAAAATACAAACATTGTTAACATTTTTAACTCATTCAAGCAGGACTAGCTACTAACTCGAAGGACTAGTGACATAAGGTTTGCACTAGTCCTGTGGACTGGTCTTAGATAAAGGAAGGCAGTGCCTGGGACTCACTTGATTGTCTGTTCTCCTGTGTCAGCTGCGGCAGCCAGCTGGTCGGAGGCGTACTTGGTTCTCTCCCGGATCGCAGACAAACCATCCTCAGTGCTTGAAGAGTCCCTGTCTCTTTGTAAAGCTGATATCTTGTTCTGTAAAATTATACAGTTACTTTAAGTGTCTTTTGTCTTTTTTGTTTGTTGTTTTAAGCCGCACTCAGCATTGTTCCAGCTGTACGACAGCGGTCATTAAGTAATCGAGTCTGGACCTGACAATCTGGCGATTGCATCATGAGCATCAATCCCTGCAATTGGGATACGATGACACGCATCAACCAAGTCAGTGAGCTTGACCACCAAATCCCATTAGTCGCCTCTTATGACAAGCATAGTTGCTTTTTACAGCAAGTATTGGTTGCTAAAGCTCTATTCTAACTCAGATCTTCACAGGTCTTTTATTTGCAAATGTGTTAGGCTTAACGTCACTTTGGATAGCTTAATGACAGAGAATTCAACAAATCACCAGAACATAGAGACATCAATATGCTCCACCCTTATAAATGTTCATACAAAAAAAACCCAAAGTACATCTGTATCTGTCACATATCTGAGTCCTGTACTGATAAGGAAATGAACTCTACCTTCATTTCAAGGTAAGACCTACTAGTTCCCTTGGAAACATAGAAACAAAATCGAAATAAAATAAATTCCTGCACAGCAGATGGTACAAGATGGCCACTTGCTCACTGTGCAGCCTCCAAAGTTTCACAAACACTGAAAGGGTTAAGAGATGCACTGGGAACAAACACACCCACATCTGTACATGTATATGTCCTACTTGTCATATTGACATGCTAAAAATCTAAATTTCAAAACATTGTGACTGCAAAAGGCATCATTCAGCTTATCACTCACCACCCTATGTATTGGTAGGTGACAAAGTCGGAATCGTGGGCCACTCCTTTTGACAGGCATAAACTAATTTGTTCCCAGGATAGTTGTGGTCCCAAAAATGATAAAAAGTCAAAAGTAAATATGGTTAAAACTAGACTCTAGCAGAAGACTGCCAGAGAGGCAATGATAATTGCATAGGATCTACTGGCCAACACAACAGCTAACTCCCTGTTATACACACCTGCAATGTTTTCACTTCTTGTCGTAATTTAGCCACTGTGTTTTCTGCCTTAACTGCTCTTTGCTGAAATAAATAATAAATATTTAGACAACCATGTTGACAAATAGTTAACCAGCCTGGGACCTTGGATCCAAGTAGGCACTACAATTATCCAATCTCAATACCTCTCTCTGTCAACGTCTGACCTTTCCTACAGTTAACCCAATCAAAACAAGTATTTGTCACAGAAGTGACGAAATGTCCCCCGCCTGTATATACACCAAAATACCAAATATGAAGACAATCCAGCGATTAGTTCTTGAGATATCGCGGCAACACCGTTTTCCAACTCCAAAAGCAGATTTGCCTGCTGTGACCTTGAAAATAGGGTCAAGGTCACCAAAACCGACTGGTGTCTGCGGAGTCTGTATATACACCATAGTTCCAAATATTAAGACAATCCTGCGATTAGTTCTTGAGATATCGCGGCAACACCGCTTTCCAACTCCAAAAGCAGATTTACCTGCTGTGACCTTGAAAATGGGCTCAAGGTCACCAAAACCGACTGGTGTCTGCGGAGTCCGTATATACACCCTAGTACCAAATAGGAAGACAATCCAGCGATTAGTTCTTGAGATATCGCGGCAACACCGTTTTCCAACTCCAAAAGCAGATATGCCTGCTGTGACCTTGAAAATGGGGTCAAGGTCACCAAAACCAACTGGTGTCTGCGGAGTCTGTATATACACCATAGTTCCAAATATTAAGACAATCCAGTGTTTAGTTCTTGAGATATCGCGGCAACAAACAGGTGGGACGTACGGACGGACGTACGGACGGTCGTGAATACTATATCCCCTGCTTCGCGCTTTCGCGCGGCGGGGGACAATGATACATGTTTTTTTAAGCCAATCAGAGATCACCTTTCAATGATTTTGCTTCCATGTCAAGCAGATGGCCTTGGACAGGGCTTCTCTCTATTAGAAGGGCTACACCAGGCTCCCAAAGGTGTGTCCCCACAGTCCCTCTATTAGAAGGGCTACACCAGACTCCCAAAGGTGTGTCCCCACAGTCCCTCTATTAGAAGGGCTACACCAGACTCCCAAAGGTGTGTCCCCACAGTCCCTCTATTAGAAGGGCTACATCAGGCTCCCGAAGGTGTGTCCCCACAGTCCCTCTATTAGAAGGGCTACACCAGGCTCCCAAAGGTGTGTCCCCACAGTCCCTCTATTAGAAGGGCTACACCAGGCTCCCAAAGGTGTGTCCCCACAGTCCCTCTATTAGAAGGGCTACACCAGGCTCCCAAAGGTGTGTCCCCACAGTCCCTCTATTAGAAGGGCTACACCAGACTCCCAAAGGTGTGGCCCCACAGTCTCTCTATTAGAAGGGCTACACCAGACTCCCAAAGGTGTGTCCCCACAGTCCCTCTATTAGAAGGGCTACACCAGGCTCCCAAAGGTGTGTCCCCACAGTCCCTCTATTAGAAGGGCTACACCAGACTCCCAAAGGTGTGGCCCCACAGTCTCTCTATTAGAAGGGCTACACCAGACTCCCAAAGGTGTGTCCCCACAGTCCCTCTATTAGAAGGGCTACACCAGGCTCCCAAAGGTGTGTCCCCACAGTCCCTCTATTAGAAGGGCTACACCAGGCTCCCAAAGGTGTGTCCCCACAGTCTCTCTATTAGAAAGGCTACACCAGGCTCCCAAAGGTGTGTCCCCACAGTCCCTTTATAAGAAGGGCTACACCAGGCTCCCAAAGGTGTGTCCCCACAGTCCCTCTATTAGAAGGGCTACACCAGGCTCCCAAAGGTGTGGCCCCACAGTCTCTCTATTAGAAGGGCTACACCAGACTCCCAAAGGTGTGTCCCCACAGTCCCTCTATTAGAAGGGCTACACCAGACTCCCAAAGGTGTGGCCCCACAGTCTCTCTATTAGAAGGGCTACACCAGGCTCCCAAAGGTGTGTCCCCACAGTCCCTCTATTAGAAGGGCTACACCAGGCTCCCAAAGGTGTGTCCCCACAGTCCCTCTATAAGAAGGGCTACACCAGACTCCCAAAGGTGTGTCCCCACAGTCTCTCTATTAGAAGGGCTACACCAGACTCCCAAAGGTGTGGCCCCACAGTCTCTCTATTAGAAGGGCTACACCAGGCTCCCAAAGGTGTGTCCCCACAGTCCCTCTATTAGAAGGGCTACACTAGGCTCCCAAATCTCTCTATAAGAACAGCTACAACAGACCCCCAATTTTGTACTCTCATAATCACTGTATTAGAAAGGCTACAACAGACCCCCAAATCCCTCTATTAGAAAGGCTACAACAGACTCCCATAGGTGTGTCCCCATTTTCTCCATATCAGACGTTACGTCACCCCATGGTGTTACTATACCTCCCCAGGGCGACTCTCTGATGTGCTACTGACCGTGGTGGTGACAAGGTTGGCCTCCACCTGCTGCACGGCTCGCTCCATCACCGCCGTCTCCTCTGCCTCCTTCTTCTGCTGTCTCTCCATCTGCTTCAGCAGCTCAGACACCCTGGGGAGGACAGTTACATATATACCACATCATTGGGGAGAACAGTTACATAGATACCACGACACTGGGGAGGACAGTTACATATATACCACAACACTGGGGAGGACAGTTACATATATACCACATCTTTGGGGAGGACAGTTACATATATACCACGACACTGGGGAGAACAGTTACATATATACCACATCATTGGGGAGGACAGTTACATATATACCACGACACTGGGGAGGACAGTTACATATATACCACGACACTGGGGAGGACAGTTACATATATACCAAATCACTGGGGAGGACAGTTACATATATACCACAACATGTGGGTGAACAGTTACATATATACCACAACATTGGGGAGGACAGTTACATATATACCACGTCACTGGGCAGGACAGTTACATATATACAACAACACTGGGAAGGACAGTTACATATATACAACAACACTGGGGAGGACAGTTACATATATACCATGACACTTGGGAGGACAGTTACATATATACCACAAAACATGGGAGGACAGTTACATACATACCATGACACTCTGGGGAGGACAGTTACATATATACCATAACACTGGGGAGGACAGTTACATATATACCACAAAACATGGGAGGACAGTTACATACATACCACAACACTGGGGAGGGCAGTTACATAGATACTACGTCACTGGGGAGGACAGTTACAAATATACCACAACACTGGGAGGACAGTTACATTTATACCACAACACTGGGGAGGACAGTTACATATATACCATGACACTCTGGGGAGGACAGTTACATATATACCACAACACTGGGGAGGGCAGTTACATAGATACTACGTCACTGGGGAGGACAGTTACAAATATACCACAACACTGGGAGGACAGTTACATATATACCACAACACTGGGGAGGGCAGTTACATATATACAACATCACATGGGAGGACAGTTACATATATACCACAACACATGGGAGGACAGTTACATATAATGATATATATACCATGACACTCTGGGGAGGACAGTTACATCTATACAACAACACTGGGGAGGACAGTTACATATATACAACAACACTGGGGAGGACAGTTACATATATATACCATGACACTCTGTGGAGGACAGTTACATCTATACAACAACACTGGGGAGGACAGTTACATATATACCACATCATTGGGGAGGGCAGTTACATATATACAACAACACTGGGGAGGACCGTTACATATATACCACAACACCGGGGAGGGCAGTTACATATATACAACAACACTGGGGAGGGCAGTTACATAGATACTACGTCACTGGGGAGGACAGTTACAAATATACCACAACACTGGGAGGGCAGTTACATTTATACCACAACACTGGGGAGGACAGTTACATATATACCACAACACTGGGGAGGACAGTTACATTTATACCACAACACTGGGGAGGACGGTTACATATATACAACAACACTGGGGAGGGCAGTTACATATATACAACAACACTGGGGAGGACAGTTACATATATATACCATGACACTCTGGGGAGGACAGTTACATCTATACAACAACACTGGGGAGGACAGTTACATATATACCACAACACTGGGGAGGGCAGTTACATATATACAACATCACATGGGAGGACAGTTACATATATACCACAACACATGGGAGGACAGTTACATATAATGATATATATACCATGACACTCTGGGGAGGACAGTTACATCTACACAACAACACTGGGGAGGACAGTTACATATATATACCATGACACTCTGTGGAGGACAGTTACATCTATACAACAACACTGGGGAGGACAGTTACATATATACAACAACACTGGGGAGGACCGTTACATATATACCACAACACCGGGGAGGGCAGTTACATATATACAACAACACTGGGGAGGACAGTTACATATATATACCATGACACTCTGGGGAGGACAGTTACATCAATACAACAACACTGGGGAGGGCAGTTACATATATACCACAACACTGGGGAGGGCAGTTACATATATACAACAACACTGGGGAGGACAGTTACATATATACCACGTCACTGGGGAGGACAGTTACATATATACCACATCACTGGGGAGGACAGTTACATATATACCACAACATGTGGGTGAACAGTTACATATATACCACGTCACTGGGCAGGACAGTTACATATATACAACAACACTGGGGAGGACAGTTACATATGTACAAAAACACTGGGGAGGACAGTTACATATATACCACAAAACATGGGAGGGCAGTTACATATATACCATGACACTTGGGAGGACAGTTACATATATACCACAAAACATGGGAGGACAGTTACATACATACCATGACACTGGGGAGGACGGTTACATATATACAACAACACTGGGGAGGGCAGTTACATATATACAACAACACTGGGGAGGGCAGTTACATATATACAACAACACTGGGGAGGACAGTTACATATATACAACATCACTGGGGAGGACAGTTACATATATACCACAACATTGGGGAGGACAGTTACATATATACCACGTCACTGGGCAGGACAGTTACATATATACAACAACACTGGGGAGGACAGTTACATATGTACAAAAACACTGGGGAGGACAGTTACATATATACCACAAAACATGGGAGGGCAGTTACATATATACCATGACACTTGGGAGGACAGTTACATATATACCACTAAACATGGGAGGACAGTTACATTTATACCACAACACTGGGGAGGACAGTTACATATATACAACAACACTGGGGAGGACAGTTACATATATACAACATCACATGGGAGGACAGTTACATATATACCACAACACATGGGAGGACAGTTACATATATACCACAACACATGGGAGGACAGTTACATATAATGATATATATACCATGACACTCTGGGGAGGACAGTTACATCTATACAACAACACTGGGGAGGACAGTTACATATATACAACAACACTGGGGAGGACAGTTACATCTATACAACAACACTGGGGAGGACAGTTACATATATACCACGTCACTGGGGAGGACAGTTACATATATACCACAACATGTGGGTGAACAGTTACATATATACCACAACACTGGGGAGGGCAGTTACATATATACAACAACACTGGGGAGGACAGTTACATACATACCATGACACTCTGGGGAGGACAGTTACATATATATACCATGACACTCTGGGGAGGACAGTTACATCTATACAACAACACTGGGGAGGACAGTTACATATATACCACAACACTGGGGAGGGCAGTTACATATACACAACAACACTGGGGAGGACAGTTACATATATACAACAACACATGGGAGGACAGTTACATATATATACCATGACACTCTGGGGAGGACAGTTACATCTATACAACAACACTGGGGAGGACAGTTACATATATACCACGACACTGGGGAGGACAGTTACATATATACCACGACACTGGGGAGGACAGTTACATATATACCACGTCACTGGGGAGGACAGGTACATATATACCACGACACTGGGGAGGACAGTTACATATATACCACGACACTCTAGTGAGGACAGGTACATATATACCATGACACTGGGGAGGACAGTTAGACATATACCACGACACAGGTGCAAGTAATATATATTGACACATTCAAGTCATTTATTATAAAACAAAATAGTGTTTAGACTCATAGTTTTAAGTAAACAAATATTTATTTAGCAGAGGACACCAGATCAGATTCACACTAACAATGAGGATATAATGTAACAATCCCTCATGTGACCGCTCTTACCGTTCTGTTTCTTTAACAGCTAACTTTTTGGTATCATCAACTGTCTGTTTCAACTTTTGATTCTCTTCTCGTAACTGAAATCAACAATTGGTATGCCATTCATTCATAATGATTTTGACCATGTGTGCTTCTTCTACTTTCAATCAAGACTTGATTAGTAGATGTATATTGACCCTGGCCACTTGACAAAGGGGACACTTAACAAAACCATAACTTGTCAAATTTGTTGTAGGAGACATAGTGGTGGAGAACAAACTTGGCACAAACGTTGAAGCTGAAACATTTTTGACAATTACAAAAAAATAGTGTTGAGACACATAGTTTTAAGTAAACAAATATCTAGTTTTGCAGCTATAACTGAAATAATATCCAATTTCCATACAACATTTCAGGTGCCATAATTCACCTGTCCCTCCCATAGACTTCCCCTGAAGATCCCGAGCAGAATAGGTCTTCACCAACCCATGTTTTGCTGTAAAAGGCAACTATGCTTGTCATAAGAGGCGACTAACGGCATTGGGTGGTCAGGCTTGCTTACTTGGTTGATGCATGTCATATCCCAATTGCGTGAAATCGATGTTCATGATGTCAATCACTGGACTGTCTGGTCAATCACTGTCTTGATTTTTTACACACTATTTACAGACACCATCATTTACCATCATTTTACACACTTTTTTCCACCACCATCATTTAGCTGGAATATTGCTAATTTCATCACCAGGGAAACTGATGTTAAATTCACCCCATACAGCTTGGATTATATTCCTCACATTCACTCAGTTCCGGCTAGAATAGGTACCAGGGTTCAAAATTCCTTGTACTTTAGCATTTTTAGTGCCAATAGCACAGGCAAAATAGCAGTGACACACATATAAGTTCCCTGAACCAGAAGGGCGTGTGAAGAAATCTAATATTTCAAAAAGAGCTTGTGACAATGTTGACTGTAGGAAACCAAAAGTGTGTGAACATGCTTACAGCACAGTTTGATTTACAACAGAAAATTGGGTATTCATAAGTGAACAAGAACACAGCGTGATCACCATACCCCACCATAGGGTCACAAGAATTTTCTTTGTTCATATAGTAGTGACTATAAAGGTGAGATGAAATGGGGTTTAACGTCGCGTCCAATATTGCACTTATATAGCGACGTGCATGTACGTGTGTGTGTATGTGTGGCTGCTTGTACTAGTCCGGACTGATGCCGATTTATAGTGCTAGCTCACTGAGATACCATGCCGCAGTTTAACATGAATACCCCACTCAGACACAGTATACTGACTCGAGCCGACCAGTCCTTGTTTTAACCCCTTAATGCCGAGCGCCAGACAGGGTAACAGCAAGTACCATCTTTTAACGTCTTTTGGTATGACGCAGCCAGGGATCGAACCCTGGACCTTCCGCTCTCCGGCCGGACGCTCTACCACTAGACCACGGAGGCGGTCAGTGAATATAAACTATAGAAAAGCGTCCCATGAAGCCTTAAGAAGAGATAGGCACTAGGATCGCTTTATGTCGTCAGAAAAGATGATTAAATGTGAAATTAGAACACACAAAAGGCACCTTCTCTGGAAAAAAATAACTTATGGCATCAATTCTCAAACTCAGTCTTGATAAGTATCTCTTACATAAGCTAACTTCAGTAGTTTCTGAGAAAACTTGTCCATATTGCAGTCACAATGCATTTTGTGAAATAACATTATCTATCTCAAAGACAAGGAAGGGGGCAAAATTACAACTCCTAATTACCAGGTGGCCAGCCTTGGTGAAATCTGTTTGATGATGAATCAAACTTATTCTTCTGCAGTTCTAGTTGGCATCATTTAAATTCATAGCACGCACGAAAAAACCTACATGTCTATCTCACCATGGGGATTCCGGGTTAGAAAAGGTCCCCAGCAACCTCTGCTGGTTGTAAGAGATGAATAATGGATCGGATGGTCAACTGATTTGTTTCTTGTTAATCATGTCAATGCCCCCACTCAGCAACACTCCAGCTTTTTTCTGGCAGCCTGTAAATAATAGGCACGACCAGACAATCCAGTGATTGATATTGTGAGAAATGATCCACGCCATTGGGGTAAGTCATTAAGTCTGACCATCTGATCTATTTGATTGTTTTTTGTTGTTTGTTTGTTGTTTAACGCCGCACTCAGCAATATTCCAGCTATATGACGGCGGTCTGTAAAATAATCGAGTCTGGACCAGACAATCCAGTGATTGACATCATGAGCATCAATCAACGCAATTGGGATCGATGACATGCATCAACCAAGTCAGTGAGCCTGACCACCCGATCCCGTTAGTCGCCTTTTACGACAAGCATAGTTGCCTTTTACGGCAAGTATGGGTTGCTGAAGACCTATTCTACCCCGGAATCCTATTTGATTGCCTCTTACAAACCAGCATAGGTTGCAGGAGACCTATTCTAACCTGGAGTCCCAAAGGTGAGATAGACACTGTCTCGCAGTGATTGATATATGACAGCAATGATCCATACCATTGGGGTAAGTCATTAAGTCTGACCATCTGATTTATTTGGTTGCCTCTCACAAACCAGCATAGGTTGCAGGAGACCTATTCTAACCCGGAATCCCCACGGAGAGATAGACACTGTCTCGCAGTGATTGATACATGACAGCAATGATCCACACCATTGGGGTAAGTTGTTGAGTCTGACCATCTGGTCCATTTAGTTGCCTCTTAAGACCAGCATAGGTTTCTGTGGACCAATTCTAACCCGCAATCCCCATCACCGTTAGAAATTGGCACTAGTCCTGTAGTCCTTGCCAAACTGCCCAATAGTTAAGATATCATGAGGACTAGTAGAAATTTGCCATTTTTAAGGGTTTTGCTATATGTTATCATTATAAGGACTAGTGGACTAAATATGTTAGTTTCTACCCCTGCCTATTGTGAGATAGAAGCAGGTAAACCAGTATACAACTTACTCTTCTGTTCTCCAGTTCCAAGTCTCCATGAACCTCCAAGGATGACACATCCCGCACTCCTCTCTGAGCACCGTGCACAGAACCGTCACTCCCTCCATTACTGTGACCATTGAACAGTTCTGTATTGTTCATTGCCCCGTCTGACAAGAAGTCTGGAAGACTGGATATACTAGATGGCATTGTTGGTCTGTTCCTTGTGGACTCATCACTGTTTTCTAAGTGATGGTCACCATTTTCTGTACCATTGCCACCAATATCAGGCAGGTCACCGCCATCATACAGTGACTGGGTCATGGTCTGACCAGAGGCACTGACATTGTCATCGACGTTTGTAGTCAGAGCAAAGTCAGGAAGATCAAGATCCGGGTTTCTGGTTATGCGCTCCTTCTTTATTTGGGTCTCGTCAAGAAAATGATCCTGTACAAAATCTGGGAGATCGCTGGCAAAGTCAGGGGCATTACTCCTTGATCGGGGAGACGTTCCTGACTTTGGTCTTGCACCACTAGTTTGAGGGCCAGACAAAAACTTCTTAAAGGAAAATGGATTTTCATCACTGCCTTTCTTGGCTGGAGTGGCCTGGGGCTCTGGGAAATAAGAAGAAAGTAACCTTTTATCATGTTATAAATATACACCAACTACAAGTTGGTATGTACATACCATTTTGTCTAATCTTTGTGTTTGCTGTCCTATTGTTGGCATTCATTTATTCAGCTTGGCTGATAGCATTGAGAAGTCTAACGAGACTGACTTGTTAACAAAGTCTCGGAAGACATTATGCAACAGCAGTTACACTCTTACAACAATTGCTAGAATGAAAAATGTGGTGAAACACACATATTTATCAGTGTGCATACATTTTCACTCAGAACAAACAAAATATATAGGACTTGCCATTGCCAGTGATTATTCATGACTTGGGACAGATAATCGGTACTTCCAGGGAATTATCTAGGATTCCAAACAAACAAACAAATTGGGACAAAATTATGATATTGTTTAAACTTTGATTATTTAAAATTTCATATTTTCATAAATTCAAAAGAATTGGAAAGTTTAAATTTAAATTGGGAATTTTTACTATCATTTGCTGCAGACTTAGATAGTCTGGATAAATATCGGCCTCTGAGCAGGTCCAGATAAATCTTTGAATTCCCCATGTTATTCCCTAAATGATAGCTTTAGAAAAGGTTAGAATCTTAAGCAGGTACACCTTGCTCCGTGTTTATATGTGACACATACAGTAAGACGACATGTGCATCCAGTATGTACAAAGGCATGATTTTTTATGAAAAACATAAACTACATCCTGGCGGATGCATAAGAATTAAACATTCTATGGAAATATTAAACATTTTTATCAATGGCTTGAGTAGTCCCACTCCTTGTCTTAACACTGACAAGTTGTCTTGTGGTCCTGTTAACCATGCCATTCATAAAATAATATTCATTCTGAGCAACAGTTAAAACGAATCCTGGAGGGGTGTGCAGCATCATTATTATAGAGCCCATTTATGCATCTCTGTAATTATTGCCATGGCAAATATCACATTTTCATGATATTATACACCTGTTGGTTTACAAAATGACTAACAAGAAGTCGACATCAGCAAATTAGAAAGCAGCTTTCTCGAGGTTTACAGCACTCTTTTCAACCTGGCGACTTCCATTTCAGACCACGCTTAGATATGTTGACAAAGTTCTCGATTAATATTTTGAAAACTAAACAAATGAACATTCTGGTATGTCTAATATATGGTTGAGATTGTATGGCAGTGCTTCCCACATACTGTGCAACGCCTGCTCCGTTCAAATGTTTATCCCACGGAAGAGAGAGTCGTTCGGAATACCCCGTGTTAAAGTTTTCAAGGTTGCATGATTAGACAACACATTCCAACTGTCATTCTCATGATCTGGGAAGCGATGCTTTGATTGGTCAGATGAAAGGTCCTTCTGATGTGACCCGTAATTGGATGTCCTCAGATCTTTGTTTAGCAATAGTGAGAACTAAGATCTGATTTTAATGAGATTGGGCATTATCACCATAAAATTAACAAGACATGGTTATTTGACCATCCATGTCTTAACAGCAATAAATGTTCTCAAAGGTAAGTGAGTGACCAGTGAGTGAGTGAGTGAATATGGTTTTACGCCGCTTTTAGCAATATTCCAGCAATATCATGGCGGGGGACACCAGAAATGGGCTTCACACATTGTACCCATGTAGGGAATCGAACCCGGGTCTTCAGCATGACGAGCAAACGCTTTAACCACTAGGCTATCCGACCGCCCCCTCAAAGGTAAGGCTTAAATGTAGTGCGTTGGGATGGTCATAAGACATCTAATCAATATTTATCACTTCTCAGGAGCTCGAAAATCCATACCTCGAAGATACATTTTTATTGTGACCCTCTCTGAAAGGACGAAATGCATAGCACTTTATATTTTCACATGAACTGTCCATTTTTTCATGACCCTCCCCAAATATGTGTTTATTTTTTAGGACCCTCCCTGAAGACTGACATATGTTTTAGTGACCACCCCCTTCTTCCCTCCCACTAATAATACCAAATGGCCAGTCCCTTGCGTCGTTTGAGTTATAATCAGCTGATAATATTTCGACTGAATGGCAATTTGACAAGTTATCCCCGACCTGATCATCTGTCATAGTGTTTCCGTTGACTCCCCCTTGCTTATCTCCGAGGAAAATTCAGTAAAGCCTTAGACAAGCGTGAGACTGAGAACTGCTTTATAGAAACTCATCGTCAATACCAATCAGAAACAACCCCGGCCTGTCATTTGACAGCGCCATAGATTAATCAGTCAACGAGTTATGAGATAGACAGACATAAGATTCTACCATCTTCAACAATCAGCGCTGCCTTCCCCTTTTTCTTCAGCGCCGACACGTCTGGGAGGAGGAACATGTCTTCCGTGTCGTCTTTATCTTTGTCTTCATCACTCAGTGAATGATTGTGATCTTTCTTCTTCACGAACTTTTTGAACGAAAATGGATTTTCCGAGTCCTCTCCGCCACCCTCCGCCATTTTTGTTGTGATTAAAAGGACCGGTTATTGCTCATTTTCTACATCGAGGAGAGAACTAAGTAATTGACTGCACGTAATGGGTAGTTAACAAAACGGCATTAACAGAATATATTAGCATAGCACAAAAATGTGTACAGTTACAGTTGGTAGATTCTAGCAAAGATATTATCTTTTCAATTATAGACAATTACAAACTACTCCCCGATGTCAGCCATGAAGACGGCTCTTCTCTCCCTTCAAGGTTTCAGAAGTATCCAAACATAAACTTCTAGAACATAGAAGCCCAAACAAACACAAGCAACAATACACATTCGATACGCGCAGATAATACAGATTGACAAGTAAAAAGGGTTTTACTTACACAATGCTACTTTAAAATACAGACATTCGTAGCTGTACATCTATCTACAGTAAACTACGGTTATAACGAACTCAAAGGGACTACTAATTTTCGTTCGTTATAACCGTAATTCGTTATAAGCATACAGCATAACTACAGCATACAGTCGGGACTATAAAGTTCGTTCATTATATCCGTTAGTTCGTTATAAGCGTGCTCGTTATAACCGTAGTTTACTGTATCTATCTATCTATCTATCTATATCTATCTATGTGTGAGTGTGTCTGCGTGTGTGTGCGTGCGCGTTTGTGTGTACAACCCCGAATTCCTATAAAAAAATTTTTTGAGAATATGGGTGTTTATCACGACGGTTCTTTGGGGCAGGGTTGAACTTTTCACCAGTGAGCGTACTAAAAAAATAGATTACCCTCCCAAATGCTTATTTATAAACGTTTTGGGGAAGACTTCCGCCCGTATCCCCTCTTCAAAAAGTTACATATGTATGCATTACCGCTCAACCCTTTTAATTAGATATATTTTTTAGGGTTTTGATACGGGCGGAAGTCCTACCGCATGATGGATTTGGTGCTGACAAACCAAGGACATGGAAATTTGGAATTGGTACCCAAAAACATTGGATCTCGGCACGTCATAGGGACGCAACACTGCAAAGCCCCAAACTACCCGTGTCTCCTTCATCGTACGAACCGCTTCAATTGACATTAGTTAAAAATTCATTTGGGTGAGTTATGTTTTACGCCGCTCTAGCAATATTCCAGTAACGGTACGGCGGGGGACACAAAGAATGGGCTTCACACATTGCACCCATTGGGGATCGCAGCCAGGCCGTCACCAAGACGACCCAACGTTTCAACCACCAGGCTACCCCAGGGGCAGACAACTGAACTATACCAGAGACCATATGATAGATTGTAACCCACCTAACTTAACACGTGCCACGGGCTGACAATATTCCTCGGTTCTTGAAGCATTTTGGCAATTTAATTGTTGAAAGTCATGACTCTGGAAGTCTTCCTGTTGATTAGAAGGCTCATCGCCATACGTGGTACTATTCTTGAACAGCTTGCATGGCACGACGCTCGCCGCTTCAGGCGTCTTCTTCCGTTTCCGGTTACACCGACCACCCGGTGCTGTCTCAGGGTGTTCGTGACAAAACTTATACCTGAGAATGCAAGTAGCGTTTAAGTCCGTTCTGCAGTAGGCACCGCACTGTTTTAATACACAACGCCACAGTTGACTTTTACCGCCTGCGCCTCCAGATCGGTACTTGTAACCATCTACAATAATGGCGTCATTGCCTCGGATTGTCCAGTAATGTTCTATGCGAAACTTCGCCATGTCGGGACCTAAAACGAAGGACATCTTGATTGCATGAAAGTACAACACTCGGAATGCTTGGGAGCGCTGTTGTTAGACTCTGTACCGCACAAGCCGGACAAAGATGGAGGCCTTGGGAATGTAGCGCTAATATATATCTATAGCTCCACTATCGTTCACAGTACCTCACCTACATTCAATCTATTTGGCAATGAAACAAAGTTGGGGTCGAAATATGCACAATATCATTCGCAAATGTTATCCTGGTCGATGCTCGCTTGTTGCGTAGTACGGGCGAATCTGGGTCACATGCGGTAAAATCGTTAAAAGTCGGGAAAATCCGTGAGCTGTCGAAAGGAGTAAGTGAGTATTTTCCGCAGTGGTTTAGGGACGTTACGGCGGAGTGCGGACACGGATGGCTTAGCAAATTGTGCTGCAGTATAATGAAGTGCTGGTCCACATGGCCTTTTCCAGACGCTTTACTTTTACCACATGACCTCCCACAGCCACTGTCAGAACTGTACAGGAGACAGAGAAGGAAGGGAATGGGAGCCAACTGGTCGTGAACGCCCTAGCTTATGTAAGCGTCAGCTATGAACAAAGCAGCACAGATTAGAGAGCTTCTGAGAGATAGTCGTTCGCTTTATAGTTCCAGGGTTAGAAACTTAAGAAACACCAAGACACACATTTTCCTGCAGCATCTTTTATTAATATCCTCAACGATGACCTTATTTTCCTGAATGTTCCTAAATATTTGATACTGTACACCTGTAATGAACACTGAATATATTTGATACTGTACACCTGTAATGAACATTGAATATATTGGATACTGTACACCTGTAATGAACACTGAAATTGCAGAATATATTTCATACCGTACACCTGTAATGAACGCTGAATATATTTGATGCTGTACACCTGTAATGAACGCTGAATATATTTGATGCTGTACACCTGTAATGAACGCTGAATATATTTGATGCTGTACACCTGTAATGAACGCTGAATATATTGGATACTGTATACCTGCCTTTCTTGAATTACTTTTGAAAAGCCCACAGTAGCTATTTCAGTCAGATGAAGGAGGAGATATCAATCTTTTATCACATGTAACATTGCTAAATAGTTAGGAGTACATGGTCAGTGTGAACCATCAATGGAGATATTATTGTTGTTGAATCTTTAGAAATAAATTAAAAAATAATAGTCTTTTTTTTTAATCATCTCTATAGAACTATGATCCATCTAATATATAAACGTTTATTATAAATTCAAGTCAGCCAAAAAATATATTGATTGTTGACCTGATCCCCAGTCTAGTTATTATGTTTTATATCTTACCATTACACACTATAAAACCTAACTATCTGATCGGCCATTCTAACCCCGTCCGACCTGTACAAGTAGGTTGTAAACTGGTTCCACCATTGGTGCGCAAGCTCACCACTTTTATGTAGACAGCTGCCCAGTCTAGTATGCAGGTTGGCTGGATTGTATATATATAGAGCAGTGAATGTACTGAACAAATAAAGTATATAGAGGTACTTTTTGTGTACATCATTAATTGTGTTTTAAATGTGGGATCTGCGTACCAAATAAGATTGCATACTCTGCAAAAAAAGAAACGCCAAAGTAGTAAAATCGTAAATACTGATGCCGACATCCATACAAAATTAATGCCAAAAATTAGTGGGTCATTTCAGCATGAATTGGGATTAATTTGTGTGGAAAGAATGGGGTACTGCAGAAATTTGGTGAAAAGATCGAAACATCTAAAAAAACACAACCAGGTGAGAGCCTGGCGCCGAAACACACCAACATGACATGCACGTGCAATATCACTTGTTGGCGGAAAAAAACGTTTTCATTTGCATGCCATCATTACAGCAAGAGAACAGCGAAAACATGCCACGACTGGCGGGAGGCCAACGCAACAATGCAACCGTCCGACTGCAAACTGGAGAATCATCTTCAGCTGTTGCCAGGTTTATCCACATAGCACCAAGCACCAAAAGACTCTGGAACCGTTATCAGACATACGAGACAACACGAGACCTTCGCAGTTCCGGTCGACCACCTATTACTACTAGAGCACAGAACAGATTCATATGGTTAAATCTATTACGTTAAAGAACCACCACGGCCACCTCTACAACTAGGGCAATACCTGGATTGTGTAGGATATTAGCCCAGACAGTGAGGAACCGTTTACGCGCTGAAGGTGTCATTTTGACGGACCTGCATCGTGGGCTGCGACATCACTGGTCTCAAGGTCAGAGATTAGGGCCACAACTTCTACAGAGACAAGTAACAAGTCCTGTTTTATGCGTAGACGTCGTGTTTGTAGGTGTTGCGGGAATGTTATGTACCAATCTAATTAAAATCAGATGTTTAGTTATTGCTACCGCTAAACAAAGATCTGAGGACATCCCATTACGGGTCACGTCAGACCGACCTTTCATCCGACCAATCAGAGCATCGCTTACCAGATTATGAAAGTGACAGTCGGAATGTGATTTCTAATCAGGCAACCTCGAAAACTTTAACTCCGAACGATGATTACGGGTTTAACGACTGAATCCATACAATCTAGACCACCTATTAGCCATTCCAGAATGTTCTTTTGTTCAGGTTTCAAATTTGTAATCGAGAATTTGTCAAAATATGTTTCGAAGCGTAGTCGCCAATTTGAAAATAGTCCCATAAAGCACGAGAAAGCTGCCTTCTGATGGGTCATTCCATTGGTCGGTCAAAGTTAGCACAAGGTCGGTCTGATGTGACCCGTAATGGGATGTCCTCAGATCTTTGTTTAGCTGTAGCGAGAACTAAGATCTGATTTTAATGAGATTGGTTATGTATGAAACTGCATAAAGAAAGTTGACAGATTTGGTGGTGGTAGTGTGATGATGTGGGCAGCCATCTCCTACACTGGTAGAACAGACTTGGTGCAAGTTCTGGGTAATAAAACGACACAACCTTACACGGATGAGATTCTTTGGCCACACGTCCTTCCCATGACACAACAAGACAACGCCCGACATCACACGGCAAGACTGACATCAGCCTATTTGAGGAATCACATCAAGGTCCTGTCGTGGCTCGCCAGGTCTAAAGATTTAAACACAATGGAACATTTATTGGATGCACTGGATCAACAACAGCAAGCACATCAATTTTCAACAACCGATTGCCATCCCTTGATTATTTATATGATGTATAAACACTAGCGAGTCACGAATATCCTCTCAATAGACTCCCCCAAATTCTGCGTAGGAAAGGGGTGTGTGCAGCCTCAGCAGCATCATTTGTTACAGCCCTAAAAAATTCCTATTTCCACAACATACTTTGTATTTTTAATGAAACATGCACATCTCCAAAACACATGTGAACCATGGAAACATATAAAGAAGTATGTACATTAACAAGACATGTTTCTGATGTGTACCACTTAATGACACAACTAACAATCAATCAAGTGTTACCAGAGAGTGTCTTTATTCTTATCACGATATGCTGCACATAATTTCCAAATTTATAAGCTCATCCTGCACGAGACTAATGGTGCATCTCGAGTCAGGGATCTGTGACGTCACACGATGTGTTCATGAGTGTCGGTTCACACAACATATCAGTGTGTTCATTTGTGCATTGAACCAATCTATTATCTCTTGTATATGAATAATTCTTCATATATTTACTAATATGTATGATATTGGTGTTTCTTTTGCCGGTGAGTATGTATCAAATCTCTGCAGAAACAAAAAAAATTACTATGCTCATTATTTCAATTTTATGACACATCTGTGAAAATTGGGGGGATCTGTTAACAAGGTGAGGTGAAATGGGGTTTAACGTCGCGTTCAAGATTTTTCCATTTATATAGCGAGGTGCATGCCTGTGTTTGTGTGTGGCAGCTTGCACTAGTCCGGATTAATGCTGATTTACAGTGCGTGTGTGTACGTGTGTGTACGTGTGTGTACGTGTGTGTATACTAATGCTGATTATATTTTGCTGGCCCACTGAGATACCATATCAGAGTTTACCATGGATACCCCACTTGGCGACTAACAGGATAGAGTGGTCAGACTTGGTTCATCCATGTCATCATATCCCAATTGCGTAGATGGATGTTCATGATGTCAATCACTGGATTGTCTGGTCCAGACTTCATTATTCACAGACTGCTGTCATCATATAGCTGAAATATTGCTGAGTGCGGCGTTAACAAACAAACTTAGCCCGAGTCCTAGCCAACCAGTCCTTGTTTTAGCCCCTTAATGCCGAGTGCCAGGCAGGGTAACAACAAGTACCATCTTTTAACACCTTTTAGTATGAAACATCCGGGGATTCAAACCCTCAACCTTGCACTCTCCGGGCGGACATTCTACCACTAGACCACGGAGGTGATCCTGTAATCTAGGGATCTGTAAAGTAGACATGTTAACTTGGCATCTGTTAACTTCGTATCGGTAAACTAGGTAATAAAGCACACGTCTGAGTTAGAGTCAATAAATACACACACATTTTGATTAATAAAACTGTACATAGTCTTTAATCAATAACGCATGTCACAATTACCAACAAATACATACACACTAGCTATAATACAATCTTATGTTGGGGTTAATAACAAAACATTTCATTTGGATAAATGTTATATATTAAATATCATGATGTATTTGTACACATATAAATGCTTCTAAAACACTGCATATCATATATGTACACAATTAAAATGACCTTTCACTTAAATATAAAAGAATATCTTTTCCACACTTTCAGGAACGGCATGCAATGACCAACGACACACTGCCTGTTATACAGACAGTGCCTAATGATGTTAAAAAGACATTTTATTAAAATAATATTGCATTTCATATTAATATTTAAAATCAAGAGAGCTTACCGGTATATTAAGACAATATGAGTATTTCATATTTTTGCATATAACATGGTTTTATTGAATGTATTGCTGTATCATATAGAGTTTCACGAAACAACTGTGACAACGTTTCTTGAAAGCACTGTCACATCTTATACAATATAGTTTAATATTAGGTCAATATGTACAAGTACATCTTCACCCGAATTCTTTGATGGGCTTTTCTCAGAAGTGGTCAGATGACAAAGTAGACACAATTTATGGAAAACAACTGTAACAGTACATGTATAATAAAGAAGTTGTTATCCATAAATTAGGTAAACTTAGACAGCTTTTCTTGTTTAATACATACCCATGTATAGCGTATGTATTGACAGAGGGTACATTTAGATATAGGAGACAAATTACAAGATTCCTTTGAATTGTTAACATTTTGTACACAATTCTTGATTATAATCATAGCTAGGGCATGGTCCATCATATGCCTCAGTGATATTTCAGTGATTCCTAGCCCATCTATTCTCAGGACTCTTTGTCTTCTAATGGCTCTGTTTGCCATGGAATATACAAGTTTATGTTGAAACAGATTATATCCCCCAAATACCTTCAAGCCTATGACTTTGTTACACAATGATACATGTTGCTTGTGTCTATACACTTGGTGACACATTGCACCCTACAGCCAGTGTCTCTAGTTACCATGGTTACAGTTAATGGAGTCTACCCAGAAGCAAACTTTCATTCTTTCTTGTTCAGTGAACCAGTGAGTGAGTGAGTTGGGTTTAATGCCGCTTTTAACACTATTACCAGCGTGTCAGCTTCATGTGGGAGAAAAGCCCGAAGTGATGCAGGTCTCAGACGTTTACCACTTCAGTGAAACCCACGAGCACGGGTATGGTGCTGACACACCTGACAAATTTATATCTTTGTTTAGTTATACCAGTTATAATTCTTGTTTTGCATACATTCACAATGCCAGGAAGGCAGAAGCAAAAAGTATACTCATAAAACAATTCTCAGGGTGGGTATGATGTTAATTCCCTAAAAAAATCATTTGAAATAGAGTGAGTGAGTGAGTGAGTTGGGTTTAACGCCGCTTTTAACAGTATTCCAGTTATATCACGGCGTGTCAGCTTAATGTGGGAGGAAAGCCCGAAGTGATGCAGGTCTCAGACGTTTACCACTTCGGTGAAACCCACGAGCACGGGTATGGTGCTGACAAACCTAGAAACATAATCGGGGCGAACCGGGATTCGAACCAACAATCATAGGTTTCTGGCGTGCCCAAGGGACGCGACTCTGCACAGCGAATCGCGGCGCCTTAGACGACTGGGCCACCCGTGCCCCCCATTTGAAATAGAATAAAAAAAAGAAAAAAGAAATTAAATTTAATAATAAAATAAATGACCTTATTTCCTTTGAATGATTCAGTTTCGGTGAAGCCATCCTCTTTATCTCCAGGGTTTGTATGTCAGTACCCATCTTCCTGAGGCAAGGGAGTTAACTGACTATACAAGTCCAGTTTCCACCCTTGCTGAACTAGGCTGGGATTATGGAGTTACATTTTGGCTGGACCAACAAGTCTATGCATAGTCCAATGAAAATCTCACAACGAAATCGAAATCAGATTTCGGTCGATTGCAGGATTTTATGCACTTCGCGATCACAATATAGATCTTGATTTTGATCAGATCGTCCTGACTAGGCGCCACCATTTTGTATGAAACCAATGCAAGTGATGGAATCGGATTGGTCCATAGGAGTGGCTCAGAAGGGACATAACTCATAATAACCACTGGTGGCGCTACAATTGAGCCCAGAATTCCAGCCTAGTTCGGCAAGGGTGGAAATTGGACTTTTAAAATCAATTAATTCTCTTGCCTCGGGAAGATGGTGGGTACCCTTGGTGTAGGTTTACTGAAGTTCAAGCTCTGGAGATAGGGAGGATTCAGTGAACCTTATACAGACTGTTGTGCACTACCGCTGAAGTTATATCACAAAATGATAATATTGATACTTGGTAAAATGAGGCGATTACATGCAAAATGGTTCAATCTCATAATATGAAAAAGACAAATCAGGAAGTTGGAACATCCTTCGGTTAAATTAATGATGTCTTCAGAAGCGAAACATAGGCATCTGTGTTCTGTCTGCTTGTGTAGTTTGATTGCTTTATGCTCTTGAGGTGAAGCATACATTCTTTCAGATCTAAAACCTACACACTTCACCTTTTCAACAATTGTAATCAACAATCAATACATCTTCTTCATCATTCATACAACATATCCATATATTGATGAACTAAAGAACTATACTTCCCAACAGATTCACTTCAATAATTCAGTAACATTATCTCAATCAGTCAGCCTGTACTTGTTGAAAGTTTTGATATATCGGTACTTAAATAAGGTATACAGGTCAACAGGTGCGAGGAACATCTTCAAAACTACGAAATTAACGGAATAACAGGTACAAATACTCCCATCATCTGTAACTTTGAACAGTACATGCAAATAACTTGAGATTATCTCCAGGAAACTGATATTTTTTCAGGGTAACTTTGAGACTAGCTTTGGGAAAGATTGATACAATGTACATGCAGCACCACACTGCAACAGAGACCCACGATGGCTCTACCACAGAACCACACTGCAACAGAGACCCATGATGGCTCTACCACACTGCAACAGAGACCCATGATGACTCTACAACACTGCAACAGAGACCCATGATGACTCTACCAGTGAACCACACTACAACAGAGACCCATGATGGCTCTACCACACTGCAACAGAGACCCATGATGACTCTACAACACTGCAACAGAGACCCATGATGACTCTACCAGTGAACCACACTACAACAGAGACCCATGATGGCTCTACCACAGAACCACACTGCAACAGAGACCCATGATGGCTCTACCACAGAACCACACTGCAACAGAGACCAATGATGGCTCTACTACACTGCAACAGAGACCCATGATGGCTCTACCACACTGCAACAGAGACCCATGATGGCTCTACCAGTGAACCACACTGCAACAGAGACCCATGATGGCTCTACCACACTGCAACAGAGACCCATGATGACTCTACAACACTGCAACAGAGACCCATGATGACTCTACCAGTGAACCACACTACAACAGAGACCCATGATGGCTCTACCACAGAACCACACTGCAACAGAGACCCATGATGGCTCTACCACAGAACCACACTGCAACAGAGACCAATGATGGCTCTACTACACTGCAACAGAGACCCATGATGGCTCTACCACACTGCAACAGAGACCCATGATGGCTCTACCAGTGAACCACACTGCAACAGAGACCCATGATGGCTCTACAGAACTGCAACAGAGACCCATGATGGCTCTACCACAGAACCACACTGCAACAGAGACCCATGATGGCTCTAGCAGTGAGTGAGTTAGGTTTAACGCCGCTCTTAACAGTATTCCAGTTATATCACGGCGTGTCAGCTTAATGTGGCAGGAAAGCCCGAGGTGATGCAGGTCTTAGACGTTTACCACTTCGGAGCCACCCACGAGCACGGGCATGGCACTGACAAACCTAGAAACATAATTGGGGCGAACCCCTACTACATGTAACATTATTTCATATGACCCTTACCTTATAATAAATGACCAGTCCCTAAGTAATGTTCAAATTTAAAAATAGTCCAAACTCCTCATCATAGTTGTTATAAATATTGGCCACCCGCCTCTTTTCTCTGTCATTTCTACATGACACCCCCCGCCCCCATCTCACAACCCCTCTAAAAATGGGGGTTGTGGTTGAGCAAAATACAGTCCTAAAACCAATATCCCCACCCCCCACCCCAAGGTTAGGCCATTGCTGTGTATAGTTTCACTGTGTTAAGTGTCTTTGCGACTGACAACAGAATGTATGCCTCATACTCTTATGTCTGTGGAATGTAGGCTCTGTTTGACCCAGACTATGCTTACAAGCCAAGGGTACATCTTCCGTAGCTGAACACTTTGTGAACCAGACCTTGCTTCTCCTGAGACTTTGCTAGACGGGTCAATCAGAGATTATTATGTCAACTGCAATAAGAGGATAACAAAGTAGTGTGGAATGGAAGTACAGCTGAGAGTGACATGTGACAGAGGAAGAAATGATACAGTTGACATATATAACATCCACATGGAATGTATAGTCATTCTCTTTGGCTTGCATAAGCGGATCAAAAGGGCGGAGGACGTACTTGGGGTCCAGACCCCCCTTTTACAAACTAAATGTTTGCATGTTGCAGACAATACCTCCACCACCCCATCCCACCCCCAATGAGAGATGGTTTTGAACTTTTAGACCCCTCCCTTTTATAAATGCTGGATCAGCCCTTGGGTTGTGTACATGGATGGATGAACGCAGTCTGTACAAACCCGTCAAGTATTGACGATGCTGGTAATCAGAGGGTAAGGATCCTATTACTCAATGACAGTTCTCACAGGCTACTCAGATCCCTGTATATAGTGTATGAACAGCACAAGGTTGACCAGTTCATATTCTTGGGGCGTGCCTGGGATGCAGTGTTTGAAATCAAATGAATCCAGGCTGCCATCAGGACCCACAGACTTTAGAAGCTGCAGGCCCTGACTAAACCCTTTTAGGCCCTCATTTAAAAAGTTGCAGCTTTGCACTGCTGGGATGTCGACAGGTATTTTCTAAATCTTCTCATATTTTTAATCAAGGTACTCACATGGTTTAATGCTCTTTGCGAGGTAAGACTTGTTTTGTTACAATATAGATCTTGATCATCGATCTGATCGTTTTGAAAGAGCATCGCCATTTTGTTTGAAGCAAATGCAAATGGAAATGGGAAGATGAATAATTGTTTGGGTGTCTCTTCCTTTCAGAAAAGCAGATTGTATGTTCTGAAGGGCTGACTGAAACAACATCGTGTTAAATCTGCATCCCGGGCCTCCCTGAATATGAAATGGATATTAAATACGTCAGGTGTCCTTGGTGACAGCCTGGCTGACATTGATGTTGGCATGGGCTATTTCCTGGAGAGTATATTGCTGTTATAACTTTTGCTGTTTTCAGAATCAAAACTGTGACAAAAAATACCATATATAATGTAAGCAACCCCCTTTTTAGGCAAGATTGACTGAGCATTAATCACAATAAATCATTATTCAGGAGATTTTGTATCCATGTGAAACATTTAAGCTGGAGACATTTCATATGTTGCTACATTTATATAATAGTTCTGGCCAGTACAGGGTTCCAACTTGTTGAATTCTAACTGCAGGAAAATACCACATCTATTTATATGTTAACTTTGAAACCTTTCCTGAATGTTAAATGATCATTACAAAATTATTATGTACATGAATTACATATTTTCTTTTCAAATTCAAAACTAAAATGGAACATATGCATAACAATGACCTGGTTGAACTTACATCAATCACAAAAACTCTTCAGTACAATTAACGTCTGTATCAGTACACTATGAACATAAGTAATCTCACGCGATGATGCACACATTGGACTGCTAAGTCCTAAGTCATTGATTAGCTCTAAGTTGGTGATAAGAGAGATGAAGATTGCGATGTTACTTTGATGAAGCTTTGATTGCGAACGGTATCTCTCGGAGAGTATGGAGATATAATACCCTGGATTATTGAGGATGATGATCTCCCAACATGGAGATGTACAGAGAAATATGACTAACTGTGGTTGACAGGATCCAAGCACCATGGCATCTTACAAAGACTTATACAGAGAGACTCTCCCCATGTGTCTTTTGATATCATATATATTAACTCAAGTTTTAATCTAATATCAACAGTTATTGATATACAGTATTTAATATTAAAAGACTTGAATGTGAGATTCTATTTCACATAATTCAAAATCATTATTCCAACTTTTTCAGTTTGCAAACAGTAATGAGCAGTGTCTTGAGTGTGAAAACTAGGGGCGCGTTGCAAGCCAGGAATCGCTTAGAGAAAGCAAATTAATTGCTCATCCCGAGGTCTGCAACAATTCGAAGTGCTTGCGCACTCTTCCAAAATGGGGGCGCAACTAACGCTTGGTTGCCTTGACGTAATGAAGAATGTAATAGAAGAGGCTCGATGACGAGCTGATGAAATGTATGACTACTTTGAAGATATGGAGCAGCCTGAGGATGATGGGGTGTTAGCTGCCTTTGTTCATTTCCTCCTTGATTCAGTCATTTTGGTTTGAGAACGAAGCGACCTCAGACAGCGATTTTTTCGCTTGAAAGCAGCTGAAAGTTAGCACACTGTTGTAAGGTGAATGACTGTACATCGCTTGCAAGCGACTGATGCTTTGCAACGCACCCTTTGGCTAACCAGCTTCAGAGAGATTAGAGATGTCATTTAACTGTGACCCCTCGGGTACAGATGACATCACAATGGTCTGCAAGGCATTGTAATGCAATTTCACTACAGGGAGATATTGCTTGATTTCTCTATCTGCTTTTGGGTGATAAACTTTCTGTTCTATTTTATCAACATGTAAGAAAACACTGGACATTTATTACAAGAAATAATAACTGCAATGACCAGTCCCTAAAATTCTGGTATTCTTATTTATTTAGGACTTTTTAGGTCATTTTAGTAACAACTATGGCTGACCTGAATCTTTTCCCATATTACATGTTAAGATAATGTTGATAGCATGACATCCACTACTGGTCCTTACAAGGACTGCTTGATTTAAGATCAACACAAAGCATGGTGTGATGAAGCAGTATAAAATCAGCTAAACACTTCCTGATTATCTAAAATCATATAACATATAATTTAAACTCTTTCACAATCTGCCGTTCTATAATCACAGCACTGTGGCATCTAAAACAATAATGAAACATCAAATAATAACAAACATTTCACATTCAGTGTCACATAACCTTAAACCAGTGACCCTAACATTTGTTACCTTAAACCACAACAACAGGACATTTAAACTTACAAACAAACAGTGAAAACATTTTGTACTGAAAGACTTGTCACTCATAACCCAAACATCACTAAAAACATTAAATAATATCTACACCTTTGACATGATTTCCTTCTTTGTACGGGAGTTATCTCCCCATTGGTCGCCGTTCAACCATGGCCTCCAGAATATCAAATTCCTTTCAGGGATTTCTATCACAAATGTTCTCCATATTAGTATACCTAGAGCACAGAAAGGTAGATGTGCTAGAACTGGAAGATGATTTTAACTTGTTGACTGAGGGTTGGCTCCCCTTAGTGGCCTTGACCTTCTGTTGTGGCAGCCTAATTTCTATCACAATTGTTCTCTATGTTTGTATACTTAGAGCACAGCAAGGTAGATGTGCTAGAACTGGAGGATGATTTTAACTTGTTGACTGAGGGTTGGCTCCCCTTGGTGGCCTTGACCTTTTGTTGTGGCGGCCAAATTTCTATCACAAATGTTCTCTCTGTTAGTATACTTAGAGCACAGCAAGGTAGATGTGCTAGAACTGGAGGATGATTTTAACTTGTTGACTGAGGGTTGGCTCCCCTTGGTGGCCTTGACCTTCTGTTGTGGCGACCTGCTCTGGTGGGTGAAGGGTTGTCTTGGTGTAGACTGGTCTGCTGGGCGGAGGACGTGGACGGTGACACTGGCTCCCACGTCACTCGGCCTGCGACTGGGATGTTGTTGTAGGCACTCACACCTTGGAAGACAAAACAGGTGATTGTCAGTGCTGTATTCAAAATCTAAGGTCAGGTCAAAATGGGTTTAAAAATGCGTTCATGATTATCTCATATAGCGATGTGTATGCATGTGTGTGTATGATTGCTTGTATTTGTCTGGACTTCTACCAGTTTTGAAGAGCTAGCCGTCTGAGATACCACTCCCAAGTTTAACACGGATACCCCACTCAAACACATTTATATTCTAACTCTGAACTGGCCAGTCCTTGTTTTATCCCCTTAATGCTCAGTAACAACAAGCACAAGGTAACAACATGTACCGTCTTTGAACATCTTTTCGCATGACACAGACTGGGATTCAAACCACTGACCCCCCGCTCACCAGACAGTCACTCTATATACTAGTAGTGGGACGATACACTGATGCATCGGTGGATCAGGATTTTTTACTTCTCGATACATTAGCATCGATCACAATCGCACACTAAGTAAAAAGTATTGATTCTTACCTTAAATGTATTCTTTAATAAATGTTACACCAAACACTAATTACAAGTGGAAATGAGAAGTGAAAACATACATAGTTTCATCCGTTGTGCCAAAATGCCAGGTATTTGGCCATCCTGTCTATGAAAAAGATGGCTTACGCACCTCTGATAACAGCACATGCAAGTATCGCGATATGTATCGGATCGTGTGCAAGGTATTGTGATACGTGTCGGATCGCACAGTTGTTGTATCGTCCAATCCCTACACTATACACAACACCACGGAGATGGTTCGGTGGTAAAACCAATAAAGAAAATTCAACTTCAAGGCCTCTGTGTACATTCAGTAGGACAATGTACATTGTTGTCTTTCATCAAGACAAGAAAGAAGGAAACTGATATTTTGTAGGACAGTGCTTTGTTTACAGTCAGTGTTGGTAGACATATTTATATAATTATATGTACAACTATAGGCTACAAAGTACAAAGTTCTGGGAGTAATTTATGCCAGAGCAGCAGATCCTATTTTTAGCCACATGTTATCATCACTTTGGGTATCAATTGATTGTTTTTTCTATGGTCTGAAAATATTTTTAGCCCAGTCTATTGGTATTTTTAAACCAATGAGTGAACCTTTCTGAAACACTGTTGCAGGTCACTTCTAAATTTCATCTGTTTATGTGGTACTCCTAGTGGGCCACCTGAGCTCGCAACAGTGATACAAATCTGAGTTACAATGAATGAGATGTAGCACCTTTTTGTATTAGCGGGTATTCACTGCAGTAGAGTTCATGTATACGTAGGGGGCACGGGTGGCCCAGTCACCACTGGTGTCGCAAATCGCTGTGCAGAGTTGCGTCCCTTGGGCACGCCAGAAACCCATGATTGTGGGTTCGAAATCCCGGTTCGCCCCGATTATGTTTCTAGGTTTGTCAGCACCATACACATGCTCATGGATTTCACCGAAGTGGTAAACGTCTCAGACCTGCATCACCTCGGGCCTTCCTACCACATTAAGCTGACACCCCGTGATATAACTGAAATACTGTTCAAAGCGGCGTTAAACCAAACTCACTCATCTCATGCATACATAATTCCTGCATTCACTCAGTTTATAAAGATCTGGAGAGACATACAGGTACGCAAGTGGAAAATGTTATGTAAGGTAATTACACAATGTCATAATGCTATTGTCTTTCTTTTTTTCACATGCTTATTTGTATGCAAATAATTCAAAATCAATTGTGCTATGGTGATGTATTGTGGGTTTTTCCCACAAATATGCATGTCATCGTGAGGTCTGTTAATCCACACGTTACTTACTTGCTCCCATGATGCCTGCTGATACTGTTGGGATATCGTCCATCCTTTGACCCTGGCGTGCACGTCTACGTTTGCGTAAGGCACGGAAAATGACCAACAGCGTGAGAAGTAACACGACTGCTAGTATAGCGACAGTGACGGCGGCCACAGTGTCAGTGATTGGGGTGTCTTCCCCCGGCACCATGACCTGGTCCTTGTCGCCAGCATTGCTGTCATCTTCTGTTGTTGTAGTGGTTGTAGCTGCTGCAGTTGTGACCTGCACATCATCTTCAAACTTGGCCATTCTGTCTCATCCTTATCGCCTGCCACATCGGCTACTGCAGGTGGATATTATTGCCTTGGATGGATTACTGGAATGTAAGGCATTACTGTGTCAGTTCAAACAGTGAGTGAGTATGGTTTTACGCCGCTTTTAGCAATATTCCAGCAATATCAGGACAGGGGACACCGGAAAATGGGCTGCACACATGTGGGGAATTGAACCTGAGTCTTAATAATACAGGACCTTATTATCTTATCAAGAGTTTGTAAGAATGAATACCATTGTAACACAATATTTTTTTTTCTGCATCCATTCATTACATTTCTGTGTCTGGTAAAACCCTGTTTTTCATCTACACTATTCTTCAGAATTTGTAGCTAGTCCTGCTTCAAGAACACAAACATGTCTCCATACTTACTTTTTCTGTCAGTTTTATTCAGTTCTAATTTGTAGTAAAAACTGAAGTGGTTCGGAATTATAGTCTGCAGGTCAATGATTGCATTTCAGGGTTAGAAACTAACAGTTTTTGTCCACTAGTCCTTATAATGATAACATATAGCAAAACCCTTAAAATGGGCCAATTTCTACTAGTCCTTAGGATACCTTTACCATTGGGCACTTTGGTAAGGACTATAGGACTAGTGCCAATTTCTAACGCTGCATTTTTACTTGACCTCAGCGCTATTTTGCTGGGCTTCAATTTTTCCACTTTATCCATTTTTATTGCTCTCAACACTGATACCGCAAGCATTGTACTTCAAACGTAGCACAATAAACGATCAAACATTAAACTCTTTTTGTATATATGCAACATGTCATCAACTCGAGAGGTTAAAGGTCAAGTATAGACTCCACAGATAGGATATCCTGTTTGGAGGGGACTAGCCAGGGGCACTTAGCACACAACAGACTTGTGATGTGCAATACGTGACTGGAAATACTGCAGGGCAAGGACGTGTAAAGTACACTTAGAAAATTATAAATCAGTACATTTGATGGTTTCACCATGCCTCCAGTGTTTCCAGTAAATATTAGACATGCATTATGGTTTACAGAAGTTTGCAAACAAATTATTTATGTCTTTCATTCTTTGTTTCTTGTTTAACGCCGCACTGAGCAACATTACAGCTATAGGACGCGGGTCTGTAAATAATCGAGTCAGGACCAGACAATCCAGTGATTGACATTATGAGCATCAATCCATGCAATTGGGATATGATGACATGCATCAAACAAGTCAGCGAGCCTGACCACCCGATCCTGTTAGTCATGTCTTACGACAAGCATAGTCGCCTTTTACAGCAGGCATAGGTTGCTGAAGACCTATTCTACACGGATCTTCACGGGTCTTATGTCTTTCCAAGACAATGTGTAACTTACTATTTTTATATATTTTTAACAAAGTAGGTTTGGATGGCTGAAAGCTAATACTGTTTAAAGTGTGGTATGGTTGGAGTAGGTAGTTCTTCTGTGATGGGTTTGTTCTCTAAATGAGGTTCGCAGTGGACGGTGGCTACATACAAAGTAATTTGTCAGTTATACTACTCAACAAGTGATAGGGATAATGATATACTTTATACTGTTCCAAAAATAGGAGCAAGCAGCGGAATTGAACCGTGATCATATGTTTAAGTTAATGACATGAAGCTGCACTTGCTGAAGTCTCCTGGCAATAATGAATACTATTTGCATACCAACATTTCTCAGCTTTCAGCCATATTCAAGCCCAACTTGGTCACTATGTATATCTCTATCAATAGTTGAGCAGTATATTATCTAAATAAATAACCATGTTCAAAGTCACTAAGTCTTGTATGAATTCTAGACCTTGATTCTTGTAATCCATGCGAGAAGGAGCAGACAGGCACATAAAAACAAACAGAAACAATTTTTTTTTAAATTCTGGTTGTGGCTTTGGACACTGTTCGGTCAAATTCACAAACCAAAAAAATAATAATATATCGCCCAACCTGTAGTAGTAAGTGTACAAGTAACTGCACGTTTACTTTAAAAAAAAATGATGGGGAATATGGCAACTGCAACGATTCATGCTAGCAATCTGTTGACTCATAATATACTAGGTAGATTCACCATTATCATGCTATTTTGAGCGGGAACAATCAGAAAATATCTGTACTGTTAGACATGTTAATTACGACATCCTAAAGATTTTGAACTCACAAAGTCATTATAAAAAGTTCGGCATTGGAGTATTACTTGGAAATAAAAAAAATTAATTACCAAACAATTTAACAAAGTTAGATGTTTTAAACATATGCTGCATGTCTCATGTCGATAGGGTTGTGAAGCCGATAACAGAGCCACAACAGTTTTTTGTGTGGTAACATACCAATCGATCTTTTCGTGGCAATCTTTTTTACGAGATCTAATTGTTGTTGATGACTTTCGTTTGACACAGTCTTGTCTCGTCAGTCACCTGATTACCTAACTCCCCACTGAGAATGTGTGTAATGAAGATATTTTAACAACTCCAACGCTTACCACTTAGTGGATGTTGTACCGTCTTCCTGTCCTACATCGTTGCAATATTTACAAGTCTACAAAGCTGTTAGTGATGTTATTATTTCTCGTCCAGGATTACCTGTAATCAACAAGCCAGGTAAACCGGAAGTTCATGTTGCAACGCCATCTGTGTACAGAAAGTTTTCCAACCGGTATCCACGTAGCAGACGACAATTTACAAACGCGATGGTTGGCGCTGTGGACGAGGTTTCAGAGTTGACGCGCAGGTATGTCAATCTGTTTTGTCAAATTGCCCAGATCAAGTTAATATTGCAAATAGCACGCTTTGTATTTTACCCTGCTCTAATTGTAATGAAAATACTATGAAATATTAATGGGGATCTTGTCGTCGAAAGAATCGGCTTTATTCAGATAAGTTTGTTTTTGTTGTATAACGCCGCCGGCTTACGGGTATATGACGGCGGTCTGTTAATAATCCATTCTGGACCAGACAATCCAGTGATTTCGAAAAAAAAATCATCATTTCTGTATAAATTACCACCAAAGACAATAAATAGATTGTGCACCCCCCCTTTTCAAAAAGCTGTATCCGCCTCTGCATGAGCATCGTCTCCTACCGGGCTACGATGCATGACACGCAATCAACCAAGTTACCGAGCCTGATCCCTGGTGCATTTGGTCGCCGCCTCGACCAGCATAGGGACCGTTCCAACCCTAAATTATTGGGGGACCTGACTGTAGTGCACCAAACCTTATACAGGGAGTATCTTGGCATCCAAACTAAATTCCCTTTTCAGACAAAATGAATAAAAAACCACGTGATCTTGTTCAAAATTGGATTGTATTTTATTACTTCATTCAATGGAAAAATGTAAAACTAAACATAAACATAAACGCCTCTTCTTGTTTATTGGCTGTGTTTAATAGTGAGATGCAAGTCACCTCTGCAGAGCCTTACAGGACTAAATACTATAATAACATAACTTGGAAATTGTTTCATTCCAATTTGGGAATGTTTTAGACAACTGCTTGGTGCCGAACAATGACCTCTGAGCAGGTCAAGATACATCCCAGGTTCCCTGGAAATTTTCATGCCTCTATTAGGTGAGGTGAAATGGGGTTTACGTCGCATCCAAGATTATTGCACTTGCATATAGCGACGTGCATGCACGTGTGTGTGTGTGTGTGTGTGTGTGTGGCTGCTTGTACTAGTCAGGACTGATGCCGATTTATTATGCTAGCACACTGAGATACCATGTCGCAGTTTACCATGAATACCCCACTCAGACACAGTATACTGACTCCAAGCCGACCAGTCCTTGGTTTAACCCCTTAATGCCGAGCGCCAGACAGGGTAACAACAAGTACCATCTTTTAACGTCTTTTGGTATGACGCGACCGGGGATCGAACCCCGGACCTTCCGCTCCCCGGGCAAACGCTCTACCACTAGACCACGGAGGCGGTTTGTGCCACACTGTTTGGTTGAGATGATGCACGAGGACCTGGTGCATGAGATTACACTCACTCCGAACTCAATTCCCATGTTTGTGGCTTGGTATGTGGATCAGTCTGTTATAGTTCCATGGTAACCTTATTACACCAAACTTGGAACTATGGGAGAACGTTAGGCCCTTGTCCACACATCCAAAGCAATGGTGCCAATGTCAGACCATGGAGGCAGTCCATGCCTCTATTAAAGATATAAAGTACAAGTTGCATTTCAATATTACTACATTACCGCATGGGAGTCATTAAGGTTATTTCGACAATATGGGCAGATTAAAGAATGTTGCTAATGGAGATTGTCCTGCTTGTATCGAATTTACGGTTGCTTGTTCTGCCTTGGTCATGTAATTTGTCATAGACATAAGGATGTTTAACAGCTTTAACATACCCACTTTCCTTTTTAAACCACAGATAATAAAACAAAAACGTATATATATATATAACAACACAGTTTGTCTATGAAATAAAAAACGTTTCGTAAGATCACTTTGAGAAGGAAGCACGAGCTCATTTATTCAAGTGGGACACTGCGTTTTGTTCGCACATAATAACAAACAGTGCACGTGTCACACACTAAACATACATAGATATCGTCCTCTGTTTAACTCTGCACATGGAGTGGTGACAGGCTGCTTCGTCTGCTGCATTTATAATATGGACGCTCGGGCACTGCATTAACTAGCGGGAGTTCCCGTATTTAAGCCCACGCGTAATTACGCTCATGGGTCTAAAAACAGAAATAATTCCGTATTTAGGCCCATGGATTTAAATTTGGATATTGATTTTGGAGTGATCTTTCTTAAATTCAGAACTTAACTCCCTTCGAAAGTTTACGTGGCTACACGAGGCAGATTTTCATGTGTATTCAACAGTTAGAGCAAGTTCAAGGTTTGCTTTCTATGAAATTGTTTCCGGTTCAAAGTTAAAATTCATGTTATATATTTTCTCAGTTAAAACAACTTAACAGTTTCTGAAATTGCCAGGAAAGGACGTATCCCCTATTTAGGAAAGAAAGCGTTATTATAAAAAGGAAAGCACTACAGCATCTTTCCCGTGGAAGCTGGACTTATACAGTCACTTAACTCTCTTGCCTCGGGAAGATGCCATGAGGTGAAATGGGGTTTAACGTCGCGTCCAAGATTATTGCACTTATATAGCGTGTGTGTGTGTGTGTGTGTGTGTGTGTGTGTGTGTGTGTGTGTGTGTGTGTGTGTGTGTGTAGCATCTTGTACTAGGCCGGACTGATGCCGATTTATAGTGCTAGACAACTGAGATACCATGGCACAGTTTAACATGAATACCCCACTCAGACACAGTATACTGACTCCGAGCCGACTGTGTTAGCCCCTTAATGCCGAGCGCCAGACAGGGTAACAACAAGTACCATCTTATAACGTCTTTTGGAATGACGCGGTCGGGTATCGAACCCCGGACCTTTCGCTCTCCGAGCGGACGCTCTATCACTAGACCACGGAGGCGGCCCGGAAGATGCGGTACAGGTACATACATTTGTATTATCATACGCGCTACACACGTACAAGAGTGAAAATTCACACTAGACTCTGCCCATAACTGTGTACTGTGAAATTGCGACCTCTATATGTTCATTGAGACGTCAGGTGCACGTCGCCTGTTGTGAGACACTCATTGATATGATGCATGTCATATCGACTATGATACCCGTATCAAATACATCGAATTGTTTGTTTCATTGAAGCCACCTTCAAACGTGTGTACTTGCTTTTGCCCGGCAGTTTAGACAGAATCGTGCAATGGATTCTGCAGTTACAAAGCTGTGTTATTGTTATGAAAAAGGTCCTGTAGCATGTATTTACGAGGATGACATATCAACTGTACATGTATGAGGGTGGGTCGGGTAGCCTAGTGGTTAAGCGTTCGCTCGTCACGCCGAAGACCCGGGTTCGAATCCCGACATGGGTACAATGTGTGAAGCCCATTTCTGGTGTCCCCGCCGTGATATTGCTGGAATATTGCTAAAAGCGGCGTAAAAGCAAACTCAGTATATGTACGTTAGCGTTACTTACACTTATGTCCATCAACTGTTGTTAACGTAATTTACAATTAGTTACATAAACATTGACCCAGGGATTCAAGGACTGATCGTTAGGACTGATGCCCTACCTATTCTCGTCAAATCGTTTATGATATAAAATAGAGCAATGTGTCATTGAAAAAACATTAACATTTTCTGGAATGTCCATATGTCTGTTTTATCTCTAACAGTAAATAGTAAACAGGAAACTTACTTCGGAGCTTCGTAACGTATCCGGGTACCACCAAGCAGGTGCGCGTCTGTAGACAGTATTACCACGACAACACTGTTGAGGTCTATGGATCCCCACCTCACTGCATCACATACAGCAAAATGTGATGAGTAGTCATCAATCTAGCTATTTCACTGTGACAAATAACTGTGTTGTGGATATGTGACCCGAGCTTTCGCTCGTTAGATACGTTTTGAAACAACTCGTTGTAAGATCAATGGTATCTGACAGACACTCGTGTAGTAATCTCTATTTATTTCTGAAGTTATTTGTTATTAATAGATTATGTATAGTGCCCGGTTTTTCCTATTCTCCTTACCCGTGATGATCCGGGTTAGAATAGGTCTTCAGCAACCTGATCTTGTCCTAAAAGGCGACTAGGCTTGTCCTAAGAGGCGACTAACGGGATCCGGTGGTCAGGCTCACTGACTTAGTTGATGCACGTCATGGTATCCAACATTGCGTAGACCCATGCTCACTAGATTGTCTGGTCCAGACTCGATACATTTACAGACCAGCGTCTGTAGCTGGAATATTGCTGAGTGTAAATTTTAAACGTCCTTACTGTTTCCTCCTCAGTAGTGGGGTCACGGGTGGGTCAGTCGTCAAAGGCGCCACGATTCGCTGTGCAGAGTTGCGTCCCTTGGGCATGCCAGAAACCTATGATTGTGGGTTCGAATATCCCAGTTCGCCCCGATTTTGTTTCTAGGTTTGTCTGCACCATACCCGTGCTCGTGGGTTTCACCGAAGTGGTAAACGTCTGTAACCCGCATCACTTCGGGTTTTCCTCCAACATGAATTCCACGCGCCGTGATATAACTGGAATAGTATAACTGGAAGCGGCGTTAAACCCAACTCACTCACTCAATTTAAGTGCCATTTAGTTAACTCGGAATGGTGGCTGTGCAAAAGTAGCAGTTCATTTAGTGTTATTCACAGCAGACGTACCTCGATGTATTGCTCGCTTGTTTCAGCTTTGTCAAAACTCTTTTCATAACCTTTTGAATACAATTTCATTGATATACTAGCACATATAGTGTTGTTCAATTGTTACAACATTCTCAGAACCCATTTTAAGACTTATTGTTAAAACAATTTTATTCGCCCCGAAAATGTTTCTAGGTTTGTCAGCACCATACCCGTGCTCGTGGCTTTCACCAAATTGGTAAACGTCTGAGACCTGCATCACTTTGGGCTTCCCACCCACATTAAGCTGACTCGCCGTGATATAATTGGAATACTGTTAAAAGCGACGCTAAACCTAATTCACTCACTCCTCCTCAGAAAGTCAGCGAGTCCAAGTTAAAGGGAGGTAGCCATATTCTCGCGGCAAACGAAACTCATCTTCGAAAAAACAAACCCTTCA